CTCCCGCCCTCTCTCCTCTAACCCCCCTCCAGTGAGAATTTTATGAATAACACGCTGAACACTTTCTAAAGAGGCGACATAGGCTTGCATTCCATGGACAGCTAAACTGATGACTGTCGTGTGGCCGTGGCCGCCCGCCCGGCTCACTGTGCTGGTTGATGAGCATGCGGATGGAGATGCGGCTGAGGTAGAAGCGGTCCAGGAAGTACTGGATGTTCTGGTTGGACACGGGGTCGTCGCCATAGGTGTCCTTGTACTCAAGCACGCCCTGTGCCATGGTGGGCACCACGTCGTTGTGGCGGTTCCGGATGGTGACCAGGGCCTCGGTGAACCTGCGGGTGTGGGCAGATGTTGGCCCCTGCCCAGGCCCAGCCCTGGGGACACCCTCAGACTCTCCTCTGCTTCTGACCTCCTCTCCACAGTGTCTTCACCCACTCCACCCTTCCCAACCCGATGCTGATCACACAGCACCCACCCCATTCCTCCCAAAGCACCCCCTGGCTCTCCCACTGCCTGTCTGACAGCCTGGGGGCACCCCAGGGGCAGGGCCTAGATCCCCCATCTGACTCAGGGGACACTGAGGACAGGAGCTGTCTTCCCTGTCAGACTGGATATCCTGACAGCAGGAGTCATTTCTTCTGTCCTGCTGGCACTTCTGCGTCTGGGACTATGGCCACAGATGTCACTCACTTACACCTGTCCTCCTGCCCCCCACCAGGGCCCTCACTCACAGGCTCAGGGTACGATGGTCCTCTGGGTCCTTGTCCAGGAACTCCATGATGTCCAGGAGACTCTGGACATACCTGTGGGCAGGGGCACAGGGGAAGACATCGCCTCAGCTCTGGGCGGGCCCCTTCCCACCTGACTCAGCTGCCCTCACTCTGGTTTTGCCTCTCCCCTGGGCACAGAGCTGCGCCAGCTGACAGCTGCATCACAAATCCCCTTCCTCCACGTACACAAGTCTCCCTGACAACACAGTGAGTTATGCAAGAAAACCTCTAATATGATGGTTCTCCTTAGAGCACCTTTGCTTTGGAATCCTAGAATAGGAGTCTTAGAAGGGCCTGCAGACCATCCCGTCGAAGGGGGTCTCAAGGATTAGGGGACTGAAGCCCAGACGGGGCAAGGGATGCTTGACAAAGGGCTGGCAGTAAGAGAAGGCTGGGGCAAGTCACTACCTCCCTGAGCCCCGTCATGGAAACAGATCTTACTATTTGTCCCACAGGTTGTTGCATTCCATGGGCACAGCTGGCCGAGTAGATAGCCCAGGGCTCCCCCAGAGTGGGGGCTCAGTAAGGAGGGTGACAGATCATACCCCCGACTCTGGGCTTGGTGGGTTTGGGCTGGGCACTAGGAGTTGTGCAATCTGCTTAAGGAACTGGATTAAATGGGAGCTGGGAAGAACTGAGGGTGGGGTGGTCAGGCCCAGCTCTGATAAGCCTGAAGCTCACTCCACTCCCCACAGCAGGAGTGGGCAGGCCCACGGTGCCCCTCCATCTGTAGGCCTGGTCAGGAGGCCATTTTCCCAGGACCTAGAAAAAGCTGGGTAACCAAAGGGAGCATTGGGAAGCCCTAACTCAGGGACAGCAGGAGGCTAGCTTCTGCAAGGGAGTCAGGCTTGCCTATGGCAGCAGGTGTAGGGTAAGTGCTCTAGCTGCTAGCACACCGCCCCGCCCCATGGCTGCCTAATGAACCCTAGAGGGCAGAAAGGGGCCTGGTCGCATGGCCAATGAAGTACAGCAAAGGACACCAGGATGGACTGGCAACGGGCAGTGCCTGCCAGTGCAGGTACAGGAAGAGCTGCCAGCCTCAGGCTCAGTCTCCTAGACTGTGAAGCAGGGTTCAGACTCCTTGCCCACCTCCCTCACAGGGCCATTCCTGCAGGGAAGTAGTTCTGGGTGTACTCTTGGAAGGGAGAGCAGAGAATGAGAAAGATTTTCCCAGGGGATCCCAGTCCTGGCCTAAAGCCCACCATGGGCCTGGCACACCCAAGGGTAAGGGCCAGATGTTGGTCCAAGGGGAGAGACGCTGGGGCTGGAACCACACTGGGCTACACACCCCTCTGAGGGCCAGAGAAAGAACTGGGCTTGGACATGGGAAGCCTGAAAGCAGTGGTCCAGTGACAGGTGTGTCACTTCAGGTTTACTCACCCTCAGCAGGCAGAGCAGGCAGAGGGAGCCCAACATAATGCCTAGGGAAGGGCTGGGCCTGCCAGCCTCAGCAGTAAACAAGGCCGCCAACTCTCCCTTGGTGAGATCTGGAGCTCCCCTCCCACACCCAAACCCTGCCTTTTGAGGCTTTCTAGTCAGTGCAGAGTCCTGGATTGGGGAGGAAGGAGTGCTGGAATTCCAGAGAGGAGGAGGGTGTTTGCATGTGTGTAAAAATGTTGGAATGAGTGTGCGTTGGGGGAGGAGATGCACAGAGGCTTGTATGAAAGCAGTAGGGAGTGCTGATGAGTAGGGGAGTGTGTGTAAGTATGTGTGCCCATGGGTGTGTGCGAGTGTGTGTGCACCGTGCACTAGTATCCACGGCTGCTGGAGACAAGGGTGTGGATAAGGCAATGGCCATGTGAGGAGGGGAGAAGTGACAGATGTGTCCTGCATCTGGAAGTCACTCTGTGGAAGGGTGGCAGGTGGGGACCCTGAGCCAGGCAGGCTTGGGTCCCATGGCTGACTGTGCCCGAAAGAGGGCACCGAGCCACTCAGTACCCCTCTGTAGAATGGGGTTCACCGCAGTGGCACTCAGAGATGATGATGCAGGTCTAGTCTCCACTCTGATTACATAAGGAGTGGCTGAGGGAGCCGATGGGAGGACTTGGCTAAAGCGCAGCTCCGTGCCTGGCAGAGCAGGCGCTGGACGCTGGGAGCCAATGTGCTGATGGTACCCATTCTTTTTATGGGCAGGGACCTGCTCCTGTGGGGTGGGGTGGGGTCCTCTACAGATGGGGTTTGGGATCCATACACCTTGCTGACAGGCAAGGGAGGCTCCTAAGAAGGTGCCAACCACATGATATGGCTCCCACCTCTCTCTCTGCAACCCCTGCAAAGGCTCCTATTAGTAACAGCAGTGACTCACTGTCACTGGGTCTACTCTGCGACTCTCCCTTAACCCTCCATTTTCTGGAAGCACATTACCACCAAATCTATACCCTCCCTCAGGCTGTCTTTCTCTCCCAAGAGGAGTCAAGGTTACCCCTTTCGTGTTCCAGACACTAGCCACCAAGCAAGGTTCTGTGATGTGAACCCTACTTCCCCCGACTTGGAACGTGGAATCTCACTGCCCCAGAACGCAGCACTCTGCCTTTCCCTAGAACGCGCTGCCAGATCACACAGCCTGGGTTGGAATCCCAGCTCTCCATTGACTATTTGAGTGACCTCAGACAAGGTTCCTAATCTGAGCCTCGGTTACTCATCTATAAAATGGGAACAATAACAAGGCCTGCTTCATTAGGCTGTTGTGAAGGTTAAATAGTTAATAAGTGTACACACTTCGAACAGTTTCTGATGCACTGCAGGCCTCCCAGGTGTGTTTGCTTTTGTCATGGCCAACATTATTACTACATTGTCTAAGAGAACTTCTGCCATAGTCATGTCATCTTTGGCCTGGAGACGCAGCCCAGAAGCTGGGGACATCACTTGTGTTTATAGAGTTCTCCATACTTTCACATCTAGCAGTGCCATTTGGCCCTTAGAAACAGCCTGGATCCCCATTTTACAGATGAGGAAACCAAGGCTCAGAGGCCACGTGGTTCACCATGGATTAAGCATCCAGCAGGCAGCAAAGTCAAGCCTCAAAGTCAAGCATGCTGATGCCACATCCAGGGCTGTCCACTACCTTCCAGTCACTTCCAAAACAGGGTCCCCTACACCAAGTTTGTCCAGTTGAAATAATTTACCAGGTTCATTCAGAACCAGGAATTCTCCACTTGCTTGCAGTGGTTCCTGCCTAGTGCCTCTCCCAGCCGAGTAGAAACTCCATCAGCTATTATTAGCCCACACTGACTATGCACCACCACCACCACTACTACTAACATTTGCACAGGACTTTCCCATTTTCCAAAGGGGAGGTTTTATGTCTTATTCATCACACTCTGAGGCTAGTGGCTCTCTTGCCAGACTCCCTGGTAGGCCATCCCCCTCCTCGCATGCAAACTCTGCCTACCTCCACAGCCTCCATCACCCAAGCTGGCAGGGAGTTCTCCTGGAAAGGGAGGTCTGCACTCTCTCAAGGCAGCCACCTCATCCCTGTCCTGACAGGACAGTCCTTCCTTCCCTCAGACCTCAGTCTCTCTTGCTGCAGCTGATGCCCATTCTGGAAACAATCTCAGCAGGCTGTCTCTCCAGTGCTTTGGACACTCCGGCAGTCCCTTTGCCTGCTCTCCTCTAAACAGAGATCCACTGAGACCTGTTCTCTCTTGTCTAACTTCACTCCCTCCTGCTGCTGGTTGACATTATTGAAAAAAGAATAAGTCAGGCCAAGCTCCCACATGTGTAACTGATTTTCAGGAAGGGACTCTGTGGGGGCCTGGGGAGGTCGTGGGCAGTTCAGCAGCTCCCTGACCCATCCTCCCTGTAATTTCCTGGCTCTCCCAGGAACACAGTGTCCAGGGAGGGGCCTGAGAAGCCATGTCCTGGAGTCAGGGACCAGATGGAGAGGTAGCCAAGTCAATCAGCCAGACAGAGCTGGAGAAGGGGTAGAGAGAACAAATGGTACCTTCTGTCTCCTCCCCATGACTTCCACACTGCCCCATGGTGGGAAATGTGGGTTAGCTCTAAGGTCTTGGCCCTGTGAGGGACTGGGCTCAGCAAGGGGTAACTTGCTTGAGCTACATGAAAATCACCTCTGTCCCCCATTCCACCTTCACAGCTTTCATTAAGAGCACTATATCCACAAAGTAAGTTCTCAGATACCCTAGCTGAGCACTTTCCTGCCTCTACACCTTTGCCCAAGCAGTTTCTTTGGCCTGGAATGCCCTTCCCTTCTTTCTAGATCTGGGCTCACCAAAGCACCCTGCAAGGCCCAGTGACACATTGCCTCCTCTGTGCATTTCATATCCATTTAGACTTCCCCACAACTTTCTGATTCGACTAACATTCACTGACTATGTTCCTGGCTTTGTGCACAAACATTTTCCTTCCAGCATCTCATTTAGTTAGAATAAGCCATGCATTTGCAGATCCGTGCACAGAAAAAATGCTGGAAGGGCGCCAACAAAACCTTATGGAGCCTTAACAGTGTTTGGTTATGGGGTGGAGGGCAGTGGTTGGCATTCTCCTCTATCTACTTTTCTGTGTTTTCCAACTGTCAAAGTGAACATTACACTTCCTCAATGAGGGGGAAGAACCCCAACCAGTGTTACTTTTAAATAATATTCTTAATTTAACTAAAACTAACTCCTCAGCAGCTCACTATTCCTACCACTGTCTACATAGCACTTAATTCGCCCTCTTTTATTCTTCCCCCAACCCCGAGATCACGGGCTCCTCTAGTTTGACCTTGGGCTCAAAGTTGGTGTGTTGCTCCTGAATCCACAAGGAAACCACAGCCAGACCACACCCACCACAGCCAGAACTAGCAAAAGATTTCCGCACATGTGCCACTTAAGACCAACCATGATTAGCCACTTATATGCCCAGTTACAGAGTAGGCTTGTTTATTCTTCATGTGACTGGCATGGGCTATTGCCATCCAGTTACTTAACCCTGGACAGAGTTCCTCAGTGAGCTTTACTGAGAATTCTCCTCTGGTGCTGCCGCTTTGTGCAGGAAACTTTTGATCTTTGCCCTCAAAAGCTCTTTGGGTGTAGGTCCTGTATCTATTTGAATGTTTTCCAACATCCAAAACAGTCTGACTTGTAGCTAGGATTATATGATTTGAAGATTTGCTTCTTCCTGTTTCTGTTTCCCACGATGTTGCCTCAAATAAATATTATCCTGCAGGAGCTGGGTTTTCAGGACCAGGGCTGGAGACGAATGCTGACATTAGCCTGAGTTGGGGTTTTGGCTATGAAAAGGATTTCCTAGGTGGACCTGGGCTTTCCAGAGAAAGGAGCGTGGAAAGTATAGGGCTGTCCCACAAACACGAGGCTAAGAGCCTGATCTTAGTCCCTGCAATAGCCTAGAATTTTGCTTGACTTTGAGTAACTCCCCAGGCTCCTGGAGCCCTGTGCCTCCCCTCTGTCCCTGCCTCCAACAAGGCTGCTGGGAGCATGGAGACTCCATCTCTAAGCCCAGGGCATCTGACGATGGAGTGGAAGGTGTGGGGACCTGGCCAGGGGTCTCACCAGCTCTGTACCAGCTGCACCGAGGGTGTGCTCAGCACCCGGTCAGGAAGCAGGTTGATCTCTTTCATGATGTTGGCCAGGCGCACAGGCAGCTCCTGCCTGAGGAAGGTGAATGAGGTTTTCTCACAGGCATTACTGGACCCTGGAGGGGGAGAGAAAAAGAGGTGAGCACACATAGCTGCAAACCATCAAAGCCAGAGGACATCTCAGGGGGCAGGCTGATTAAATCCTTCATTTCCTGAGGGTTCAGAGGAGAAGTGATCCGCGGCACAGAGCAGGCAGCTCTCCCAAAGCCCTGCGGTGTTCTGACCTCCCCAGCACCCTGTCTAACCCTTTGGGGAATTGCATCCTCTCCTCACCCCCAACTGAATCTTGCTTCCCTTCAACAACAGGGGGCAGGTCCACTCCCAGGCGCACCGGGAGCTGCCTCTGGCCTAAGTTACCTCACTTCTTCTCTTTCTTTCCCTTCTCCCAGGCATTCACTTTGGGAGAGCTGATCCAGGTGGGCAGAGCAGCCTGGGAAATCCATCCCTTCCCAGGGCTGGGCCCTGGCTGACACAAGCTATCCCTGGACCACCGCAGCTGCAGGCTCCCAGCATCGTCTCTGGCCCAACCCATCTGCACCCAGGCTGTTCCTAATGACCACTGTAGAGCTGCCCCTGCATTAATACCCACCACCTGTGAGGCAGATAGGGCCAAAGGATGGTAACCCAGATACCTTGGTCCTTGGCTCAGCTTCAAGATGAGAAGAGGGTGAACGATAGAATGAGGCTAGAGTCAGAGGACCTAGGTTCTAGTACAGGTTCTGCTTCCGACTCTGTCACCCAGGGCACGCCACTATCCTTCTAAAGGTCTCAGTTTCCCCACTGTACTACAAGTGGGCCAGACTCTACTGTGAGCCCCTCCCAGCTGTGACACTGCGTAATTGGGGTTCATCCAGTCTGGACTAACTAGCTGCTCGGGGCTGGAGTGGGCACAGGAGGCTTTCCTACATGGGGGCAGCTCAAACAGGGCAGAGGGCAGGCGGCCAAGTCCAAGGAAACAGGTGCTCTGTGTCCTGGCTGCCCACTCCCTGCCCCCTCCCAACAATGACGCAGCTGTAACCTGAGCCAGGCACTGTCTCTTCAACTCTTGAAAGTCCTGGGCACCCTCTCCTAATCCCCAGGTGTCACCATGGAAATACCATATAGACAGACAGGGCCCACACAATGTCTGTTTCGGTCACCATGCTGGCACAGCGTTGCTCCTGCTCCAGAGCCACCCCCAGGACGCTGACGGTGGGTGATCCTAGCCTAGGAGCCCAGGGGCAGGCAAGGGTGGGTACAAGCCGCCTGATTCCATCTCGTGGTGCCCTGGGCCCCTGCCCAGCTGGAGACAGGCAGTCAGGCCTGAGGGGATTTGATCTTCAAGTGTCCTTGCCCACTGTGCCAGCTGGGGGGCCAGCTCCCTCAGTGGGTGGAGGTATCCTGATCAGGTCCTCTCTCCTGTGGGCATCTTTTGAAAGAGCCCCTTCCCCAACTGACCCCTTGGTGCCCAGCTGGTCTCCTTCCAGATGGCTGCACCTCCTAGTGCTGCCTTGTTACTCCCATCAGCATCCCCCCTATTTTCTCTCTGTCTCCCACTCTCAAACAGGACCCTTTACGCCTGGATACACCCTACTCCCTTCCTGCCCTCGTATCACCATTTCACTGCCCCTAATTCTCCAAGACCCCTAACAAAGCCCAGGAGGACCCCTTGGGCCCCTCCTACTCAATACCCCTCACGTCCCATTCACAGCCCAGTCCAGGGACTCTCCAGCCGGGGTACCCAGAACCCTCGCAGCCCCGGGGGTCCCTGCCTCCCCATTAACCCTTTCCTGCCCGCTGCCCTCCGAGCAACCCTTCCTTGCCAGTCTGGGCCTCTCTCCTCAGCGTCCATCCTTCTTGGCCGGGACCCCTGCATTCCCCCCACCCAGGCACCCGCGAGGCCCGGCGGCCAGCCGCCCCCCGCCCTCTCCGTACCGAAGTCNCTCTCCGTACCGAAGTCCAGAAACTGCTTCATGGACAGCGGGGACGGGGAGAACTTGCTGAAGTGCTCGATGTACTTGGGCGCCCCAGCCAGGGACGCGTTCTTCAGCAGCGCGCGGATCCAGCGCATGGCGGCGGACCCGGGGCTGGGGCTCGGGCTCGGTGTCGGCGCCGGGAGCTCTCGCGCTCGGCTCGGCTCGGCCCAGCCCGGCCCGGCCTAGCGGTTCCACAGCCTCCGCCCCGCCCCTGCCCTGGCCGTCCTCC